TCATTGTTCACTTTCTCCCACTAGACTGTAACTGCCAGGAAGGGGGACCGTGTCCAATTTATTCTCAGGTCACTCCGGGCCTGTCAGTACCTCATGTTGTCCCACCCTGCAAAACACCATGGACTCCCCCTGCCCTGCTGGTGCTCCACCCTCAGTGCTGGCCCCTGGGCATATAGTTATTCTTTCTTCAAATAAGTATTCATTCTCTTCTAGGTAGTGAGGACACAGTGGTGAACAAAACATACAACTCCCGCCTTCGTGGAACTTGCATTGTACAGATCAGCCTAACCTGTTAGGATTATTTGAATATATTAGATTTTCAAAATGATGCTCTTAGAGCAGAGGACCCAGAGGTGCCCTAATGCTGTCTTTCCCTTCTCCCCTTCCTCCCCAAGGATAATCTGAGAAAGCTCTGTCTACATAGACTTACATACACACACGCACACACACTACTAAAGAAAAATTATTCTGACACTTGTTAAAATGGTAAGGAAGACTTTATTCAAGACTATTGCAATAGGGGAGAGAGATGGGACTCCACTCCAAACATGACAGGACAGGTGAGGATTTACAACCAAGGAGTGGGGGGAGGGGCAGTGGATGGAAAATCACTGTGAGGAGATATGAAGGGTGGGGGGTTCAAAGACTCAAAGATGGGACTGAGGAACCTGATCAGATATCGAAGATGGGAGTGATGACTTAGCAGGAGTCTTGCTAAAACTGCTCTCTGCAGACCCAGCAAGGACAGGACAGACACAAAAGGTCAAGATTGAGTCCTAGTTGAGAAGAGGGCTCAGAGGAGCCCTAACAAATTTTTGTCAAGGAGAGTCTTTGTCAACATGCACATGTGCACACACACACCCCCGCACATGCACACGCACATGCACACATGATAGCAGCAGACAAGTCACAGCACTACTTTCTTAGTCGCTGGCCCAGCCAGCAATGATCCCAGAGAACTGCCCTCTGGTTAAAGTTGAGTTGTGCTGGCAGCTTCAGCACCCAGCCTCCTACTTCTCCAACCAGTGGAAACATGGGGACCAGCAGAGTAGGGCAGAATGATGGGAAGAAAGAGATGGCCAGATCTCAAGCTGGAAGGGGGTTAGGGTAGGATCCTGGTTCAGTTGACAATTCTGCCACATGGAGAGGGACAGAAAGTCTAAGAAAAGAGCAGAGAATAGGCTCCTGCATTATGGTATGTCTCCCTGCAGCTAGCCAGTCATTGCCCGGTGAGCATCCTGAACTCACTCATATGGTGACCTCTCTGTCCTCATGGGAACGGGGAGAGCTAGAGGACAGGGAGGACGGGCAGAGTGTTCCACACCATCCATGACAGTCTTCCAACCATATGGAAGACATATGGATCCAAAAAGTCTTCCAAGGGGGCCTTCTGGGCACGAGAGTGGGGGACCTGAGTCCACCCCATCCCAGACTTGGAGCCCTCAGTCAGTGTCCTCAGTCAGAATCCAGGCTAGCATCCCCTTCAGACGTAACCTTGCATGTCCAAGATGGCCCCTGGCCACAGCCCAGGGCCTCTGGGCTCTGTTACCCTTCACTGGGCTCAGGCTGTTGATTTTCTTTGTTGCTTAAAGATCCCACAGCCCCATTTAGCTCAAGCCTCAGTCTCAGATTGCAGTTTTCCCCTGTTCATTAAATTCGCTCTCGGCTGGCCACAATTTCATTCTTTTTCTCCACCCTTTGTTTGAGGGCCGGGCAGAGAGATTGCAGAAAGCAGCATGGGGGTTGCTTGGCACACCTCCAGAGCCGCAGAGGAAATGCCCTTGGCTGCAGAGCCACAGGCAGGAAGGGAGGCTGGCCTGGGCCACTCAGGGCTAAGCTCCCGGAAAGGAGGGGGCAAAGGATCAACAGGGAACAGGAAGGCCTGGGGCACCTGAATCCAGTCCCCGAGGAGGCTGGGAGCTGGCAGAGCACTGCTGCCTAGCACAGAAAAAGGAGACAGACAGAGAGCAGGCAGGGGAGGAGGAAGGCTATTTCAAGTGTGCACATAACTACCAATTACAGGGAGTGCGGGATCTTGATGAAAATGCCTGAGAGACAAGAAGATTTGAATCCTCTTTGGAGACCAAAATTGCAGATAATAGGATTGAGGTGAGGTTAAGAGACACAGTAAAAGGAGCCAAGAAAAGAGAGAGATTGAGCAGAAGTCAGAATTCTTCTGTTTATCTTTTTCACCTCAGGTCCCATCTGCATTCAGAGGCAACCGAGTCCCAGGTTCAAAGGCTGCCTTCACCTCTTTGGAGTGGCAATGCTTGGGATAGTTACTTAATCTCTCTGAGCCTCGGTTTCCCACCTATGTAGAAAGGGACTAGCTGTCCCTCTCTCATGAGATTCCTATGTCAGTTCAACGTGATCCTTGTAGAAAGCCACCAGTAACCAGGCCCAGCTGCTTAGCTCCTGAGCCAGGAGGAGAACAGACTTGTCCAGAGATGAGTTTCCTGTGAAGTTTGGCAGGTGGATGCTCTTCCGGTTCCCAGAACCTCTCCAGGAGTGGGGGGAACAGCCCTGGACAGAAAAGGAAGGGTAGGTTCTATGTTCATTGCAGCATTATTTGCAATAGCCAAGATATGTAAGCAAAATAAGTGTTCATCAATAGACAAATGGATAAGGAAAATTGGTGTGTATACACAATGGAATATTACACAGCCATTAAAAAAAGATGAGATCCTGCCATTTGAGACAACATGGATGGACCTAGAGGGTATTATGCTAAGTCAAATAAGTCAGATTGAGAAAGACAAATACCATATGATTCCACTCATAAGTGGAATCTAAAAAAAAGGTATAAAACAAAAAGCAGAAGCAGACCTATAAATAGAGAGAACAAACTTATGGTTGCTGGGGGGAAAGGGAGGGGAATTTGGGGAAAATGGGTGAAGGGGAGTGGGAGATACAGGCTTCCAGTTATGGAATGAATAATTCATGGGAATAAAAGGCACATCACAGGGAATATAGTCGATGATATTATAGTAGTGATGTAATGGGACAGATGGTAACCACACTTGTGGTGAGCATAGCATAATGAATAAACTTGTCAAATCTCTAAGTTGTACATCTGAAACTAATGTAATGTTGTGTGTCAACTATACTAAATTTTTTTAAAATGTAAAGAAAGAAAGAAAGAGAAAGAAAGAAAGAAAGAAAGAAAGAAAGAAAGAAAGAAAGAAAGAAAGAAAGAAAGAAAAAGAAAAACAGAAAGAGAAAAAGAAAAAAAGAGAGAGAAAACAGTAGGGTCA